ATCAATAAATAAAAATTTAAAAATATAATCACAAAATACAAAGATAAGATAGAAGCAGCATCTTACATATACCTTGAAAGTATGCATATATCTAAACCTTATCAAAAATCATTGGATGACAAAAACCTCCTTCTAAAATGTGGTTAAGTGAAATGTAATATCATTCCTTTTTGGGAAATCTTAGCTTTCCTAAACTAGCTTTTCCAATAAACTTAAAAATAAAATTGACCCCATACCTATACCTTTTCACAAATTAATACATTGTCAGAGTTTTGTACATTTTATTCAAACTACTTTTCTTTTCTAGTTAAAAACTGTAGCATTTTAACTTTCTTAAAATTATACAAATGCATGGCTAGGAATTCCTACCATTCTGCCAAATGAAATGGTATACATGGCCCTTAGTGAGAAGGACCCTGTTTACCTAGCCAAGCCCCACATCTGCTGCACTCCACATTTCTATGACATTGAGCTCTCTGTAGTTCCATGATTGTCTTACTCTCATATGAAAAACAGAAAACTTGCAAACAAGTTTCCTTCCACTAGATTATTTTCCCCCCCTCTATTTAATGACATACCCATCTACCAAGTCTCACTCAGTCTCCTCTGCAGAACCTTCCCTGGTCACTCCCACCACAGCTTGCATCCTCACAGGTCATATTAGACCCTTTTGATATTACTCCCTTGACATTTCATGCATATAGTCATTAAATTGATTATATTTCTTTAAATTTTTTTGTTATGTCCACCTATAGGCAGAAGCTGTGATTTTCAGAGGCAGAAGCTGTGATTTTCAGTTTCTATCACCCTAGCCCAGAGTAGACAACTGTTCACATTTGTTAAATATTAGAACTCTTGTTTTCAATGGATTAAAAAAAAAGACCCTTAGTAAGCAGTGAGATGAATTTGGCCTTATATACTTTAATTTGTAGAATTGTTAATCTTACTCCACAATAGCAACAAAAATATCATTGTGGTAGAGGAACCAAAACCAAAGAGGAATTAGTACAAGATCAAAATTAGAAAAAACAAATCAGTCTACAGCACTCCTCCAAAAACACCTTTTCCTCTATTGATGACATAGAATATTATGAAGTGAAGAAATGCTTCCAAAACTCGCCAGAGATTATGGCCTTGAACTCACACACAGAGCAATTGAGATTTTCCCTCCCTTTGCTTTCCCTGGACACCAAAAACATGGCACAAAACCAACTGTTAGCAAGAATCCTAAGTAAAAATAATTGCAGAATTTGTTACTGATAAGACAACAATTGTCATTATCATCCAATCTAGTATGCCAGCCTTCAGTCCATTTGACATTGAAATTAACCGAACCTGGTACTTTGACTAGAGCGGCATCTAACAATGCACTAGCAGGGCGTTGTAAACAAGCCAAGGCCAGTGGTGCACTTCGAATATGCACGCAAAGTCCAAGGAGGAAAAGAAAATACCACACCGGACGATAAAATAATAATAAATAAAATGCAGCTGAATACAACAAAATTAAAATGCAAAATATGCAGCATTCTCAGCTATAAATAGAAATAGTTTCAATTAGAAACCCACTTATGACGAGAGCTCTCCTGGAAGTTAAGTGGGAATTATAGGAAGAACATTTTTCAAAAGCAGGCCATTCCTTTATGTAATTTACTTGTTTTCATTTTATAGTTGTCATACTTATTCACCTATAATGAAACATCACTATGCTCTTCTTACAGTAATCAAAACAAAAAACAAAGCTAAAGAAAGAAAATGTGTTCTCCGGTAGGTAAAATTTTAACTATTTTGAGGAGAAATAAGTACTGAATATCAGTGACCTGTAATCAGTGAGCAGGATAAATTTATAATTTCATATAAAATAAAAGGCATATTTAAAATTGTTGCTTTGATTTGTGGGATGAGGACTTTATAGTTCACAGACATGCATATATTTTAGCAATATTTTGAGATGTCAAAAATAGGTCTTGGTGCCTTTCCTTACTCGAAAAAATGAAACTTTTCATCATGTTTTAGGTTAATTGATTATTGAAATATCTTACTGGAAAATTTATAATTAGAAAAAGTATTTTTCACTGTAGTGAACACTGTATTTGATATGCCTTAAGAGCAAAAAATATACAACATGTCTTGAGTGTATCTTTTAACTATAATTCAATTAAGATTCCATTGCAATTACTACTGCTACCACAGAAATAGTGTCGCAGGATGATACATAGGAACGGGGTTTATAAAGCACAATTCACTTCCATAAAAAATTCAACCCAAAGAATGACTTACAGTGTTATATACTGGTGAGGTACTAAAATGAAAAAAAAAATTGTTCATTCATCCAAAAGGGCATTTACATAAGTCAAAGTGAAACAAAAGACAACTGGCTAGAGATAGTATAAAATTCATTCTGTGATCATGAGTAACAAGGTAAATAATAATACCAGATAAAGTAGAAGAAATCAATGTAATAATTATAGAAAATTGTTACTGTTGCTGTAACTAGTAAGAAAAATCATGTCAAAAAAGAAAAGTACTTAAAAATATAAAGACAAAATATTCTATGTCACAATGACAAAATTGAGGCTTGCGTGTTAATGCCTGTCAGTACCCTGACAGATCTGACTAATCACTGGAATCTTTGTTGTAAATCTTGGAATCCCCCTCAGTACACTATGCAGAGAGCCACAACCAATCACTGAAAGTTGGCACTGAAACCTATTTGTCCAATCTGGTCTCAGTGACGTTGTTCAAGACATTCAGTTATGGGCCTTCCCTGCAGGCAAATGGTACGTGACTATACAACCTTCTAGGAAATGTGGTAAAGCATGGGTTTACTTTCAAAAATTGGTGAATGCACAAAAATTTTTATAAAGCAAAATACAAAAATAATATTACAGCAGATAATGCTATGATTTGGTGAGTGAGATAAAATTTTAAAAACTGACTGCCATCATTCTGACCAGCATGGCTTGGTGGGGAGTCATCCCACAAAGCTAAAGGTCGCTAGTCAGGGCACATGTCTGGGTTGTGGGTTCAGTCCCTCTTCAGGGCACATGCAAGAAGCAAGTGGCCAATGTTTCTCTCCCTCCCTCTCTTCCACCCTTCTCCTCTCTCTAAAAATAAATGAATAAAATCCTAAAAAAAGAAAAAAACCCTAACTGCCATCTACAACTTAGAATAGATTCAATTCTGATGAGACGGACATTTAAAAAAGATAAAGTTCTCCTTTTGCAAGAAAAGCAATCGAATGTGAATTTCTATTTAAAAGCCATAGGTCTAATGGTCTGAGAAAAAAATGAGTAAGTAGGGTAAAGAATCTGATACCCAAAGTAGCTTTTACACCTGAGCAATCAAAATTATAGATTTCCCCTAAAAGGCAAAACCATTTATTGATACTTTTAGCAAAAACCATTTTCATCTAATAAATAATGCAATTTTTGCCATGAATCAAATGCTTTTAAGTCTTTTTTAAATCATTTTTTATTAATATTCAAAGACAATTGTCTCCCTTTTCCCACCACCATTTCCCCCCACCCCACCCTCAATTCTACCCCACTTTGGCTTTGTCCACAGGTCCTTTATACACGTTCACTGATGACTCTTTCCCTTCTTTCCCCTTTTATCCCCTCCCTGCTCCCCTCTGGTCACTGTTTGTTCTTAATTTCAATGTCTCTGGTTTATTTTGTTGTTGTTTGTTTTTTATTAGGTCCATTACAGGTGAGATACTAGAATGACATTTTTAGCTTATTTATAATGTATTGTTGATCTCTATAGAAAGTCAAACATAGATACAATGAGAGTGGCTTAGTTTTAGGTGTCTTAATTTCCAGAAAAATAGTTTCCCTATTGAAACATTTTAAAGTATATATGTAATCGTTGAACCACATTTGAAACATAAGCCATAATTTTAGTGTTAGGATAAAAATGATCACTAAGTAAAATGTGCATGGAAAAAGAATTAAGTAAAAAATATCCACTAAAATAAAATAAATGTGTATATCATGGGAAGGTAACTGTATTCTGCTGTAATTATACATACTATATAATGTTAAGTCGAAGGCTGAATAATAAAACACATTAGAGAAACTATACCTCAATCACTAAAGAAGCTTAGATGAAGTCTATAACAGGTCAATCTGACAGTGAACCCTGCTCCACAGTATTATCCACAGTATTAAACAGTACTATGTGCTGTTTCCAACAAACAAAAGCTTACTCACTCACTTCATTTTGCTTATGTAGAGAGTCATATTTAAGGCTGGCATGAATTCTGCAAGAGCTCTTAACTGGTACTAACATTCGGCAATAAAGAACATTTCCAGCCACAAGCAATTATATATAAACATAATCTGTAAAACACTGAGAATAAGTCACTGGTTGTAATGTAATTAGAAAAAGTTTTCTAAAATTTCCTCTAAAATAACTATTACCCTAAAATCTTTTACCCTTGGTCACATTCACTGTCATGAATTGTTGTTTTACTATTATGCTTTTCCATGATTTTATAAGTAATTTCTTTGAAAAATGCGAATAAGGAACACATGATACAGTTTGACTTGGCTTTGAGACAGCAGCTGCTTACATGACTAACTTGTGATACATCTTACCACTGTGTTACTCATGATTATAACAAAGCAAGTTTTAATTAGTAGGTAAGTCATTGCCTACTTAGCTGTGCTACCCTCAGGTAAGATAGAAAACAAATGTTTCTGTAAACTATACAGGGTGGGGCAAAATTAGGTTTGCAGTTGTGAGTACATAAAACAAAGAGTTTATTCTTGTATTATTATTTATTAATTATGGTATTTTTTCCATATGGAAAAAAATAAATTTACTTTTGTCCACCCCTGTATAAACAACTATCAAATAATGCTTTCATACACAATATAAAAACCAAGATGAAAATGTAAGTTTTGTAATGGAAATGTACTGCTGTACTATAGCAAATACATGATTTTCCTGAATTCTAGTAATAGAATGGGAAAATGTCTTAAAAATGTTCTTCTTACCTGTGTATACAGTTTTTACTCTCAAGATATGACATACCGGAGGCAGCATCTAATGCAAATTTCACCAGTTGTTTGGTTTTTATTTCATCTTTCTTTCTTCTTAGATAGGAAAGGAAATCACCTCCTAGAAGAAGTGACAGATGAACAATGAGACAAAATCATGATGAAATTCACATTTATTGCCTATTATGGATTCCTCACAGAACAAAAAGCAGTCCATGCTTGGCCATGCTTTTTGTCCATTTTGTTTGAGGTGGGGATAAAAGAACATATGAGAAGAACACGTCTTATTACAAAACAGACACTATTAATTTTCCTGAGTACATTTTAAGTACTTTAAGTACCTCATACCCTATTAGCTAACATGAAATATTCAAAGTCATAGAATTTCTCACCAATTTGCTTGACTAAAATTTTGTAACCAAGTTTGTCTCTAATACCAAATTAAAGACTGTACTTACTATGAATTAAATAAAAAAGTAAATGATATTGAATAAGTTATCAAATTCAGTAATTGCTGAAAAAGAAAGAGATTATTAACAATACCATCACTGACAATAAAGCCAGAAAGTGGGGGGAGCTATGATTTTGCTAAGATTTTAGGTTGCACTTTTGTGTATAAAATGGATTCAGTGATGCAGAGAAACACCTTAAACCAGCATGGTCCAAAAGAAATGTAACACAAGCCACATAGTAATTTAAATTTACTGATAGTTGCATTTTAAAAGTAACAACAAAAAGGCGCAATTTGTTTTAATAATATATTTTTCTTTAGCTAATGGATCCAAAATGTTACTTACCGACATATATACCATAAAAATTTTAGTGGAGATATTTTCCCTGTTAACATCCTAAGTCTTTACAATATGTTTAACACTTAGAGGACATCTCAATTTTTATGCAATTTTTACCTGAAATATTTTATCTGTATTTAGATTTCATAAAATTTAGATTCATATATATACATATTTAGATTCATATATATACATTGTTCCAAATGCTTAATATTTCCCAATATTTGGATAATGCATAAATCCTTAAAACATTTAAAATCAAATACAATTCAAAATTCAGGTTTTTAAGATGCATTATCTACATCTCAAAGCTCAGGAGCTACACACGGCCAGCGATTACCACACATTGCACAGCATAGCCGTAACCTATGCATTCATTGTTCATGCAGCATTGAAGGCTATGGTTTCTTTTTCTCTTGTTAGTGTATACTGTATGGCATTAAAAAAAGAAGTTTGTTCTAAGTGAAATAAGACAGAAAAAGTCAAGAACCATATGATTTCACTCCCCTGTAGGATATAAAAGTGAAATTAAAAAAAACGAACAAGACTAACAAGCACAGGTTCATTGACACAGATGACAGTCCTGTGGTTACCGGTAGGAAGAGGCTGGGTGGGAGGGGTAGAGGGTAAAGTTCCCAGATGTACTGAGACAGAAGGTTTGACTCTGGGTGGTAACACACAAGGCAATATACACATGATTACTATAGAATCATGCACACGAAACAATTGTATTAACCAATGTCACCCCGATAAATTTAATTTAAATTTATTTAAAAAGTTAGAATACTTTTAAAAGTATAGTAGAATAAAGTTCCTCTAAAAATAATCCTCACTTTCTCTTCTATATTAGGCCTTCAGATTTTAAGCCAGATTTTTGCAAGAGAAATTAGCATTTTAATTGGCATTTCGTAAACTTTTCTTACCCTATTCACCATGGCTGTAGGTTTCCTAAAATAGAACAACTCTAGATGTACAGACTAAATGGCTTTTTCTTTAATGAGAGTACTCAGAAAATGAGAACCAGCCAGATTCTTCTTATAATATTCTTTTTATTCACAAATCAAGGGTTACACAATTTTACATGGGCCACTTAAAAAATCAACCAGCCTTATGCTTAAAAATAATTTTAACAGTGTCTGACAGTTCATCTTTTTCTGTTTCTTTTTAAGGAGAATATGAAATGTATTAAATTACTAGGAAGATTACTGAAATAGTTTCTATCAAGTTTAACTTTATTTTCTGAACAAAACACACAGATGCAACAGTAATCCACAAAATTAGCCACTAATTTCTCAAATAGGTAACAAAAATGTCTATTAAAATGGATTTAAAATCAGTATTCAGTTCAAGTTATTACTTGGACTAATATCCCTATACATGTATTAATGCTTCTTAGATCGCAGGTAGGAAATACAAGGCCCGCAGGCCTAATCTGGCTTGGCACCTTGTTTCTACCCAGTGATAGCATAAAGCTCTTTGCCCCTAGCTGAGAAATACCCATATTTTTGGACCATAAGACACATGTAGGTTTTAAAAGAGGAAAATAGAAAAAAAAATTTGAAGAAAAAAATGTGGTAAGATATTTAATAACATAAATAACAATAGTTCACCAATGTAAATGTCAATAAAACTCAACAGCAGCATTAATAACCATTATTCCTGCCAAATCGGGGGTGGGGTGGGGTAAAGGTGCGTCTTATAGTCCAAAAATACAGTAGTTACATTTGCATAGTCCAAAAACTACATTCGGCCCTTTGAAGGCAACTGTGAGGCTGATGAGCCCCCATCCCATCTCCATGAAAATGAGTTTGACACGCCTGTGTTAGATATATGTTGGCCTTTTCTAGAGAAAGTGCACCCTTCTGGTCTTGAAACCACATAGCATTTTGTTGATGCTGTGGAATAACTTTCAAGCAAAAACATCTTTACTGGAATTTAATTTAAAGTAGCACAGGACAACCCCCATGTTCTGTCATTTCCTAATATTATTTATTTCTTCCCCAAGTTGGCTCATATTCAGCAGTTTTCCATCTGCCTCCTGCTCTTTTTAAATTCATTCTTTCCTACAGTCCTCCTTATACTCCCATCCCTGCCCCAGAGTAGTCCCTGTGAAGAGAATTGTACCTGTGTTGTTCAATATTGTAATTTCAGCACTTACCATGTGATTAAGAATTCCAATTCCAATTAGGAATCTTGGTGTACAAAAAGGACAAAACAAGATCACTTCCCTTTTGTAACTCTGTATTAACAAGGCTTTTTCTCAGTATGAGTAGACTACATATCAAACCAAGACAGGAAGGATCATTTTCTAGCATTCTTCACCAGTGATGAATTTCTAGGACAATGCTTGATATGTTTTTATGGCCAACTTTGGTTTACTAGGCAGAACGTGGCATAGTGAAAAAGAGCATAGATATTGAAATAAGACTGACCTAGTCTGGTTAGTTATATGGACTTGGGTAAGTTATTTCATCTTTCTGAACTTCTTTAAAACAAAAATTAATTCCATTTATTTCTCAAGATGGCTTTGAAGACTCATTGTATCTAAAGAACTAAGCATGTGCTGAGCACATAATATACCCAATAAATACTACTTCAACTTGAAGTTATTTGCTATACAAAATGAGGAAGAACTGCAGTAGGGACTGGGTGTTTGCCATACATTTATTTTCCCTCATTCACCTCAATTTCTTTCAGGAGACTCGCCTTCTCCCATTTTTGGAGAGCATTAACCTCACCCCCAACAATAAGGGTAGTCCTAGACTGGCCTAATCAATGACATTCACTCCTCTGAGCAAGTGACTGGTTGAAGGACAGTACACGACTTAACTCAGGTTACTAAGACACTACAAGAAGGTACTTAAGAAGTGAAAGAAATTGGTTTTTTTTTTTGAGAGAAGTACCAAGAAATAAGCATGCTCCGCAACTGAAAGTGTGGAACATGCCATACGGCGAAGACTGGCAGCCTTCAAATGAAACTATTGCCAAGGAAAGCAGAAAGGAGAGAAGGAAAGAGAAGAGTTTTGGGTGACACGCTGGAGCCACTGGGTCAAACAATGCCTCAAGAGTAACTTCCTTCTAGATTTTTCAGTTAAGTAAACTAAGGAAATCTATAATTCTTTATATATTTTCTGCACTAGCAACTCAAGGATCCCTAATGGATAAAATAATATTTATATCAGAAGATCATTTGGAGAATTAAAAAAGGTAATATATACATGTTAAATGTCTGGAACAAGTAAGAAACAAGAGAATAGAAGCTATTACTCTCAATAGCCCTTGAAGATGTCTTACCCCATGCTATGGAAATTCAGTCTTTTGTGTTGTTCAGTATTGATGGGACTCTGAGAAACTAATCTCATTAAACGAACTTGGTGAAATTATGTAAACAAGAATATTAATTTATCAATTAGTCATTGAAGAAAAGAGATCACTGGGACAGTACCACTAATGATTTCTTGTCATTAAATCACATAAGAATATTAACTTATCTTCAAACAACTTCCAAGTTTATTAAACAGATACTAGTCCCCCATGATATATAAAAGTATAATTCATGTCCCGTGTGTTTTAGGTTATAAATTTGTTCCTGATAAGTTTAGTTTATTTGTGTTCATTTATACATTTAAAATAGGATTACAACCAAAGCAAGTAATAAATTGTACAGAGCTATTTGGGGGCTTCACTTATGCCATTATTTAGGTTCTTCTCTAAAAAATAAACATTTGCTCTTGAACTTGTACTAATGAGAGTTGAGGCTATCAGCCCATCAAAAACAGAGACAAACTCTATACAATGATAAACAACAGAAGCTGATTCAATTTGTACTCCATGAAACACAGAATAGACTTTATACAGCAGGAGATTAAGTCAAAACCATTCTTGAAGAAGAATCAATGCAAATACTTAGGAGACCTGGAGTACACAGAAGAGATTAAGCAAGACATCTAATGAGGTGATGAGGGTTTATACTAAGAACTATCCAAAGAAACAGCGAAGATAAGACTTGGAAAGACTCAATAGAAAGCTAAAAATGGATCAGCTTGTGAGGAAAGATGAGGAAGATGAAACTCTAAAAAACTGAAAATGACTTCAACAATGTACACGCTTTTCTGATTCCATTTTCTTCTTTTAAAAAAAGCACTGAAACAGCTTGCTCCCTAAGTAGTGAAATTCAGCCAGGCCAGATGCAGAGCTGAGTGTGTGGGTTAATACATGACATTAGTCTTTTCAGATGAGGTTCCTTAATAGCCATGTTCTACTAACACTGCAGAACAGCAGGAACTTTTTGCATTTCTCCTTGCAGATGATTTTTGAGAACATAGCTTGG